TTCTAATGTGTATATATATATATATATTTATGATCGTTGTCTAATGTAATAAAAAAAGTAGTAAAAGTGTAAAGTAATAAAAAATAGTTGTAAGGAAACCGAAATGGAAAAATCTGAAAATAAAATCTAAATTAAAAGATTTTCTATCAATATTTTGCATTTTTATCATGAAACTGAGAAATAATTGATAGAAAGATTGATAGAAATTTAGAAACATAAAAAGAATAAAAACAAAAAATAAACGAAATAAATTTTTTATAAAGCACTATTATTATTTTGCTCATTAATTATGTATTTATTTACAATACGTTATTTTATTAAACTATTTAAACTGTTTAATTAAATTTTTATGAATATCTATCTGATGAATATCAAATCTAAGTATATTTTATTTAATTAACATTTTTTTATCATGCAATTTCCTTATAAAAGATCTTGAAATAAACTTAAGTACAATATTAAAATATTTTAAACATTCTATCTATTTTAAAAACTCTTTCCATGTTTTTTCAAATTTATAATCTGTCATATATATGTGCAATTTTGTAATAGTAATGATTAATAATAATGATTTAAACAAATATATATTAAATAAATAAGAGTTAATTTATGATTGTTAAGTTTAATAATACATGATACGTTATTAATAAAAATTCTACGTAATTATAAATAAAATAAGTAATCAATTTTCTATTATAGATTGTGCATTATAATGCCCTAATTCGTCTTTAAACTTATGATTGACAGAAGTGGTGTATTTTTCTATTCATTTCGACCACATAAAACAAAAATTGAAATATATTTTATATACATATTTATATACTTATATAATACTTACATATACTTATAATATATACTTATAATATATACTTTAACTGATTTTTATACTTTTTAATTTAAAGAGTTTTCCCTGATAAAAATATAATAAGAATAATTTATTATAATTAATTTAATATGAAAATTATTTAAATTAAAAAGATTAAAATGTAAGATTAAAAATAATATTTATAAATAAAATAAAAAAATGTGTTAATTAAATCTGAAAAAAGTATAATGTAAAAAAGAATTCAATCATATAAAATGTATATGATTAAAGAATATTGAAATATATACTTTCCAGAAATAAGAATAAAAATTAAATAAATTGAGTTTTTAATCAAAGAAGGAAAATTAATGAATCCTTAATTTCTATTTTTTTTAAAATAATTAATTGAAAAAAGATAAATAATCTTAAAGAATATAGAAATCAATATTTAATTAATATTTATTATTTATATTTATTATTTATGTTTTACCGTATACATGACTCATTGATACAATGTTCTTTAATTCAGAAAATAAAAATCTATAACAATTCGAGTTATGTGACCAATAATAATAAATTACATCAGTATACTTTCGACTACGTTGAGCCAATGTATAGCATAATAAAATGAAAAAAGTTGAAAAAAAAATTGATTAACACTGTTATAATAGTTCATGCATACTTTCCAATTTTACTAAAAAAAAAAATTGAAAATTTTAAAGAATTTTAATAAAATAAAATTCTTAAATAAAATAATTAAAATCTTAAATAAAATATACATTAAAAATAACGTTATTCTGTAAATTTATTTTATGTTAGTAAAGACAAAATTTTATATTTGTACATTGTTATCTTTCTTATTTTATATGTATAGAATATACGTATAAGAAAAATAAAAAAGTAGCAAAAAATTGCAAGAATTGAAGTAACAATTGAAAAAATTATAAATTAACATATCTATAAAAATATATAAAATGATTAATTTTTAAATGAAATAATTTGTGAAAAATATTCTTTTGAATAATTTAATATTTTCGAAGTAGAATATCTTTAAGAAAAAATACATTTAAAAAAACAATTTTATATTTAATATATTTAATATATTTTTAGCGACGAAATTTAAAATATTTTTAATTTTAAAGAATTATCGCTTTCATTATTCTTTTGCTCTGAAAATTGAAAATTATTATTAATATAGATTTAATACAATAATTTATTTCCTATATAAGTTTTACTTACTCAATTATTTTTACATTTTTACATCTATATCAAATTCCTTGAATTTTATCAAGTACGTTTGTACTGCAGGCACAAATTCAATAAATTTTTGCAAGAAACACTTTCTTATAGTGAGAAGATTTGGACAATTATAAGAATCAAAAGAAGTAGCTTTGACGATCAAATTTCGTTGCTCTTTTATATGTATCAAATATAATTTCATTATGCGATAATTGACTTGGCTAGGATCTATTTTATTTATCTTAGTCCATACAGATTCGAATTCTTCCATCATAGCTCCAGCTAATTCGATTATATTTCTAGCGATTATTGCATCCATGTTGCTAATTAAATATGAATTATCATATGAAGTCTTATCATCAGCAATGTTTTGTATATCAATATTTACAATTATTTTGTACTTACCATAAATTTTCTTAAAATTAATTGAAGAAATTTCTAATCACTGAAGATTTTTGAAAAATTATAATTTGAAATAAGAATGAAAAACTTTTTTTAAATTATTTCTAACTGATGGAAATATTATTGATAAACTATGATTATGAACTCAAAAACGAATAACGATTCTTCCTATTTATTTCTTGTTAAAGTACGTGTATTGTTGACAAACGTTAGTCAACTGAAAGATTCATGTATGTATCTTAATTTCATAATCGAATAATACATGTATACATATTATATTGACCAATAATTTAAAAGCATAATATCGGGTATAAATAAAATAATAGATATATATTTTTTTCTTTTAGCAATTAGAAAATTACATTTTATTAATTAATATTAAAAATATTCGTATGGGAATAGAATATTGCGAAAATCCAGAAATATTTTGATCAGAAAGTTTTATCAATGGAAAAAGTGAATTTAAACGAATAATTTTTAATTTGTTATTATTTCGATTTAAGTTTGGAAGGAAGCAAGACAGAAATAGCTTATCGAAATAAAAATAGCTTTGTCTTCTTTACACTTTTGTTATATCTCTATCTCTTTTCTAGTGCAAATTTAAGTTATTTATAATTTAATAAATAAGTTCAATCGATATTTTAAATACTAATTTTTGTATTTACTTATTTATATTATATTATATATAATATTATAATATATAATTATATATTATATTTCATTATTTATAAAGTTCATTCGATCGTAATCATAAATTAATAAATTAAAATAAATTAATACGTAAGATAAAAATTAGTTTAATAAAATTTAGTTTTGCTTTCGATATCAATTTCGAAATAAATTGTAAAATGTAATTATAATTTTTTCAGATTTTTAATGTTTTTTTTAAAAATATTTATTGAATGAAAATTTCTTTCAAATCTTCAAATAATAAACTTTTATATCTAAAATGTAATTATTCAAAAACCTTAAAATAATAAATAATTAATTAAATTATTATAAAATGATTTTATTAAATTATTATTAAAATTAAATTATTAAAATTAATGACAAATCTGTGATATCAAAATTAAAAAAAAAATTAAACCTGAATTGAATATTATATATATATATAACTAATATATATATATATATAAAATAGTTCATATTGCAATTTATATTTTTTTGTATTTGTAAATACAATATATATAATACGTATATATAAATATTTTAAATTAATTTTTTTTAATCTGATCTTTAGATCATGCGTTCGAAAATGATACAAATATTGAATTTAATAATAAGTTAATAATAATTAATCAAATAAAATTTTTGTTGGATTGATTTTTTAATATTGATAATTAGTCGGTAACGCAGTTTTTAAAGATATATGATGATAAATTCTACTACAAATAGTGTTTCTTACGCCCTCTACAATTTGCTATGATCAAAGTAGAAATTATATTCATCTCATCATATAAAAATATATATATATATATATAGGGTGTTCATTTAAAAATTTTCAATTTAAATAACAAAACAATGCATTTTCAAGATAAATATTGAATATAAAAATTTCATAATTTTAAGGGAAAATACAGTTATTTACTTTTACTTTGTTGTATTTTTTTAATGGTTAACTTGAAGATGAACTTTCTTTCTTTAAATAGAAAGTTATATTTTTTTCATACGTTCTTATTCTATTAGAAAAAAAACAAAACAAAATTAGTAAACATTGAAGACATAAAGAAGACATACAAAAACTTAAAAAAAAAATGAGAAAGAAAATGAGAAGAAAATTTAAGGATCTCAAATTATAACATATAATATTATCATTTAATCTTTTTCTCTTAATTTCTTTAATTTTCTATAATTTTGAAACTACTAGCATTTTATTAAAGATTATATATAACATGTCATTTTACACAATGTTAATGTTACATACAATTTGATATAGAATTTATATTTAAGAGAATCAAATTTTCATATTATATCGATGATATAATATACATTTATAAGTATATATATTTATTAATATAATAATTTTTCCTATAAATTATAAGAAAAAAACAAAATTTATGTAATAAGTTATAATGAAAAAAATATATTTATATTTTGGAATACATACATGTATATATATTCTATTTATTATACTATATATATAATAATTATGATATATATCATCATTATATTTTATTGTGATAAAATTATCTTGAATTTACAATAATGGACTAAAAAATGTATAATACGCAATAATATTTCCTTATCATATAAAATTATTTTTTTTAAATTTTAATTCTAAAAATATCTAATTGCATTCATTAATTAGATTTATGATTTATGATTAATTTTAATAAAAATATAATTTAATTAATTTTATACGAATAAAAAATTATATTTCTTTATTATAATTTATAATTTATATAAGTAGAAATATCATGACAAAATTATGAAAGTAATTAGACAGAAAATATAATAATACAATATAATAATAAAATATAATAATTTTTTTGATTATTAGAATAGCGGCCTAAGAGAAACAACAACAATGTTAATTCGTATCTATCATCATATCATTAATTGCTATTTATGACACTTTACAATTTGTACAGGATAAAGAAGTTTCTAAAGAAGAAGATGGACATGGTAACATACATTTTTGTGTCTTCGAGTTAAATTGTAAATCATTTGGGCATGTGAAATTATATCTCACAAATTGTCCATTTTCCACGAAACAATAATAATATTTCTGACACTTGGAATCACTTGGAATCATTGGAAATCTACCAACTCCAAGGGGACAAGGGTCCACTATCGTAGCAGGAGTTGTAGTAGTTGTAATTTGTGTGCAAGTATAATCTGCAGTGCACAATTTATTTGTAGGGTTAAATAGAGTTGAACCTTTACATGTCATATCGTATGAGGTATATACGACTCCATTATATACACAGAGGTAATAATTTTTGCACGTTCCATCAATAATTTCAAACAATCCTTGCGTTACGCACTGTCTTCCAGAAGGAGCTAATGCTTGAAATATCCCTGATTGAATCAAAGTAAAGATGAAAAGAATTTTAAACGCGACGAGAAATACTCTCATCTTAGGTATTGGTTTTACGTATTGATTCGTAAAGAATGAACTTCACTCGAAGAAAATCGAAAAGAAAATGTTCCTTGATTTAATCATTGTAATGATTATATTATCCTCGCTAAATTTATTGATTTATTGTTTTATTGTAGCATATCTGCTTAATTCTTAGAAGACTAGCTAAATGTAATGCTAATATTAATAGAGATACACGAATTCTCTTATTCAAATATATCACAGAAAAAGTTAAAAATATAACATACCTAACATAAATAAAAAATCGAGAAAATAATTTTTAATGATTTTTTAATGATTTAAAATATTTTTATACAAATGATGTTACAAAAAATGAACACGTTAAATTGTATATTTAACATTGCAACATATTTTCATATTTTGTAAATATTTAAGAGAGTTTGTTGAAAGTATCTAATGAATACTCGAGCAAAAAATATTAAAAAAGTATCAAAAAGAAATTATAATATAATTCATTGACAAAAAAGAAATGATATATTTATTTAAAATATAATTATTGTTTAATTATGTTTCATATTTCTTTTGGTAGATGATAAATTTTTCCATTTCATTATTAATTTATTAAAAATATTTTATTATTAAATATTTTACTCTTATAATATTTCATTTATGCTTCATTTTTTCTTTATTAAATTTTAAATAATTGAAATTTGTGTTAAATGAAGAAAAACGAAAAAAGAATAAGAGCGCTTTCCTTCTTACTTCTTTTATTTCCTTCTTAATTCTTCTATTTCCTTCTTACTTCATCTAATAAAACTTAAATTGCTTATAATTTAATAAATAAACTTCAATTAATATTTTTGTATATCAACTTTTGTACTTATTTTTTTCTAGAATCAAAGATATATTAACACCATATATATAAAAATACTATTATAATATTTTTTTTCTTAATCTTATGTTATGAATTTATTGATATTTTGAAATAATATATAAAATAATGTTTATATAAATTGAAATGATTATTTTCTTTAATCTATTAACTTGGAATTTTTTCAACCAAAATTATATTTACATAGTAAGAAATACTACTTATTAAAAATAAAATCCATGTTATTATATATCTATTGAATAAAAATTTATAAAATTGATAATGAAAAGTAATAATTTTTAAACGATTTGCGGTGTGTAAATCAAATTTAGATTTAAATATTATAATTTAGATTTAAATACATAATCTATAAAAAGTGACTTTTATTCATTATTACAATAACAAAAAGAATTTTACCCTATGTCTTAAAAATAAAAATACAATAAAATATTATATTTTTTTATTTGGAATTGTCTGTTTGGAATCATCAATTCAATAGTTTTCTCAAACAATCCCTAAATTCAAATAAATTTCCCCTAGATTGTTCTTCAACAGAGAGGGTACACAGCTAAGAGAACTTTCGTAGAAATATATGCATTATGAGAGAGAGAGATTGGTAGGTAGAAAAGGAGTTCGATTCTTTAAGAGTAAAAGAAAGGATAAAGAGATGGAGAGAAAGAGAGAAGAAAGGAAAGAAGGAGCAAATGTATATAAGCGTGTTACATGGAAGACGCTCCAATGGACTCTCTCTTTGACCCTACTGAAGCGTGCACCTTTCTTCCTGTTTTTTCTTCGTTCTTCTTGCTCTTTGAAGTTCTCTTCTACAAGATCTTCTTCGCCTCGTGTCCTTCTTCTTCGATACATATCTTACTGTGAAGAAACGATAATTCTTTCGCGTCGCGCTCATTTCAATTGTGTGTTATCAAGGATGAAACATTGAATTTTTTGCTGCCTTCAAATTGCGTGGTTTTTTGTAAATTGTTTCTTTTCAATTAAAAAGTGTGATAATCGAATTGAAAAGTTTTAATTTGGTTTTTGTGATATGTTTTTAACGAAAAGGATCTAAAATATAGATAGTGAAACATGAATATTCTTCGAGTGAGTATAAATCATATTTTAAATTAAAATGTTTATTAAATATTTAATTTCAAATAATAGCAATTTTAATAAAGGATGTTATTTTTAAAGTATAACTATTTCAAAGAAGAATGATAATTTTTAAGATTTTTATATTTACATTATTTCTGGAAACTTTAAATATACTTTATAATTTCATATAATTAATTGTTCGTTTAAAGAAATTATAATGAATAAAACGATAACAAAAACAATAATAATTATTTTAATTTAAATTCTAAATAAATGAAAAATAATTATATTTTGGAAAATATTATAAAAATATTTGTATATATGAGTTAAATGCATAATATAATAATTCATCTCTTAAGCTAAATAATAATAATTTTATTACATAAAATTTCTTCAAATTCTAGGTATAAATAATAACATTATGATATTAAAATTTTTACACGTTGGATAACATATTATATATATTATATTTTACATATTATTTATTATTTTATATTTATTTTAAATCATATTTATTTAAATTTTATTCTGTTCTTAATTGATATAAACTAAATCTAATTTAATATATATATATGTATGATCATTAAAAATTTAAAAAGAAAATATTGAAAAAGTAAATTAAATATAAGCAAATGAAATCTTTGAAATCTTTCTTATAATATCTTTAAAGCTTTTTAGCAAAACTTATTTCACATTTGTTTTCACATTTGTTCACAAAAATATATCAAATCATGTTATATTATGAGAATATTACAATCTTTTCACTTTAATAAGTAAGTAAATATATAGATATAGAATGTTTTTAAAAAATTATATATAATATAATCTTTTTATCTTAATTTTTCAAATTAATAATCAAAAATTTAATTTTATAATCAAATATCTTACAAAATTCTATATAGTAAAATATAAATAAATATAGATAAATTTTTCTAAATTACTAAAAATTATTTTTTTTATTTTTTCTATAGCATTAATATTTTTTTTTTAATCTTTTTATTCAATTAAATTTTTTATTTATGATTACATTTACTAGTAATTAAAAATTAATGATTAGAAACTCTATACATATGTATTTTATTGATTTTGCATTATATTTGTGAGAGTAGATGTTCGACTTTTTAACTATACATCTTATGAGGCGAAAGCCGTACTGACGAAGATAAATTACTATTTTTTTTCAGATAAATTTTATATTATATTACATGTATATATAAATATATTCTAATTTTATATATGTTCTATAAATTTTATAATTTCTATTGTTTTATTGTCTAATTTTTCGATTTTTATAAATTCTTTATTCATAATTCATATTCATAATTCATAAATTATCTTAAATTATAATTAATGCTATTGAAACATTAATTTTAATACAAAATAAGAAAAGCATAATTATCTTTCTATTTTAATTAAATAAAAGAACTTACTTTTATTAAGAAATATATTTTTGTTTCTTAATTTTTTATTCAAAAAGAATTATTTTATGTAGATATATTTTGAAAATTACAAACAATAAAACATTATGGAATAATATAATTGTTATTATGTATTAAGAAAAAATTATTATTTACTTATTTATTTACTTTAAAATATAATTAGTAGTATAGTTGAAATGAGAATTAAATAATTATTCTCTTAAAATTATTGCAAATTAAAAACCTATGCTTTTTAATTTGAAATTTTTATAAAACTTAATATATGTTTCTTTGTGTAGAATTCTATAAAGGAACAGAATTTTATAAAGTACTTGATTTATCATGCAAAGTATATCAAGCGAAAGTTAAAAATCACGAATTCAAAGTCTGGCAACACAACAATCCAAAGACATGACCAAATTTAAGTATTTTAAAATCCGTTTACGATCAGTTTACTTCCGATTTTCGATAAATTAACTAAAACTTACGATATTAAAATGTGATAATATTAATTTATTTGTTAAATATGAATAAACAATTTAAAACTTAAAAATTTTAAGATATTTTGAGATTAAATTTTCTAAATTTTTCTTACAAAATTCCTATTATTTAAATTTTTTTGAAAAATTTTTACGAAAAAATTAATTCCAATATTATTTTGAAATATACACTTCGACTTCATCATATATACTTACAATTTCATTAACAATTCAACTGAAATAAAAATATCAATTTGAATAAGAACAAAGATATATATATATATGGAAATATTAATTTATTTTAACAAAAAAAATCTTATATAACTTAATATAATAATCTTATATATCTTATATTTTATTTTTAGACATTTTAATTTTTTGTTAAAAATTTGAAAATATTTTCTGACACATTACTATAATAAACATTACTAATTTACACACTTCTAATAGTTAAAATATAACAAACTTATTTGTGCATAGATAAATATAAAGGATATATAAAGGATACTATACATTATATTTTATAAATTCCATATAATTGCATATTGCATTTCTTTGTTTGAAAAATTTTACTACGATTTTTTTTATTTAACTTTTGGCAAACTATCAAGAAACAGGAAATTAATTCACGCGGACATGACCATTTGCAAAAGCTTTCGAAAGTTAGGACTGATTTGTATACATCGTGAATTGTCAATCACACATGATCCAACAAGGACGCGTGAACGATACAAGGGAAACATATGTTCGACGCTTTCGAATGATCCTCGTTGTTTGGCATAGTGCCAACGTAGGAGCGAAACTCTTCCGAATACGACCTAAATCTGTCGCTTTCCGTTTGCACGTTTCTTCTTCTTATCAATGTCAATACGGATTTTCTTCGAATAAGCTTTATGACCTTATTAAGTATTGACATGATTAGAGTTTAAATTCTATTTTTATGTCCCTTCTTCTCTTTCTTTTTTTTGAATTACTAGGTAATATAGATATTACTTTTTTTCTGCTTTT